CTTTTGTGTATTATGTGTTTGCATTCTGGTGGAATAATTATATATACTGCGTGTTATATGATGAACTTAAACTCCAACTTACCTTGTTTGTTAAGCCTGGAAATTCATGCAACTCTACTCCTGCATTTCTCTTCTTTATCCTATATGTCTAGAGAAAAATGGTATTATCAGATCTACATTTTAAATGTAGTATACTTTGTTATATTTATTTAGTGCTAATAAAATATGTATTTTTATTTTAGTACTGTGTATTTTTAGTACTAACAAAATACATATTTCTTATTTTAGTACTAAAAATATTACTATTTTTTAGTTGCAGTTCTACATATGCATATTTTTGCTTCCTTGTCAAGGTAGCCTTCTCATTTACTTTCGTGGCCCTTTGATACCACATTCTCTTCTAATGTCATTTCTCTGCCTGCTTCCTGGGTAGATCACAGTTTTGAAGTGTTCGTTGCTCTTATGTTTTTAAATCAACAGAATTTAAAAAGTGACACAAGACCCATCTAGTCTTTGTTTACCACTCTCCCTGTTAAATCATGAGTAGCTTTTGAAGAAGGCAATTGTCTGATATTATCCTCATCTACGCATCCTAGGCAGGATGCATTTAAACAAGCACTGCTTCAGCCTTGCTCCTGTGGGTTTCCTTAACTTCTGGCCCTTTGGAACAGTAGGGGAGGAAATGGATTGCAGTAGTTCTTGGACCAGTGTTGGTTTAGCATTATTATCATTTATATCTTGCCCATATTAAGGAATGGTGAAGATATAAATCTTTGAGGAAAATGTGAAGTTTTTGAAGTTGATAATAGCACATGTTTATATACACATTAAATACTCTGAATATGTAAATGCATGTTATTGGCTTAGTGTTCACAAGCAAATATCATTTATGTGTTCCTAGTACTCACAAGATATGAAAACCCCAACAATAAACTATAAAGCTATTTGGATTAATAAAAATTATTCAGTGAGCTAAGTGGTTTAAAACATTAGTAAAATATAGCTCTTCTACATATCAGTACTAAATAGAACAGATAATTGAATAAAAATCTTTCAGCCCTGCCGGTGTGGCTCAGTGGTTAAGTGTGGACCTGTGAATCAGGAGGTCGCATTTCCATTCAGGTCAGGGCACATGCCAAAGTTGCGGCTGCCTGGATCTCCAGTAAGTGGCATGCAAGAGGCAGCCAATTGATCCTCTTTTTCATTGAGATGTCTATCTCTCCCTCTCTCTTCCTTTCTGAAATCAATAAAAATATATTTTTAAAAAATATCTTCCAAAGTCTCAATGACTGTAAAATAAGAAAGTTCATGTAAGAAATATCTGAATTTTGGTGAAGAAAACTTTACTAAGGAGCTTTAAAGAAAACTCGAACTAATAAAAGATTTTTGATTTTTTTACTAATGTGTTCTTAAATAAAGTAAGATTTTAATTAAAATCATGTTTTTTTAAATTGATCATAATTCTGAAGTTTATTAGAAACAAATGACCAGAAATAAAACAAGAAAGGCTTGCCCAAAGAAAGCTAAATGGGAGCTGTCTATCAGATATCCTATCTAATAAAGAGGGAATATGCTAATTGACTGCCCCACCCTCAAAGATGGTGGCACCCACAGCCAATAACGAGGGAATATGCTAATTCACTGCCACACCCTCAAAGATGGCAGTGCCCACAGCCACAAAATGGCCAGCAGGGGAGGGCATTTGGGGGTGATCGGGCCAGCAGGGGAGGGCAGTTGTGGGTGATCAGGCCGGCAGGGGAGGGCAGTTGGGGGCGACCAGGCTGGCAGGAGAAGACAGTTGGGGCGACTGGGCTAGCAGGGGAGCGGTTAGATGTCGGTCAGGTTGGCAGGGGAGTGGTTAGGGGGTGATCAGGCTGGCAGGCAGAAGCAGTTAGGGCAATCAGGCAGGTGAGTGGCTGGGATCTAGCAGTCCCGGATTATGAGAGGGATGTCCGACTGCCAGTGGTATCGGGCCTAAACTGGCAGACATCCCCCGAGGGGTCCCAGATTGGAGTCCCGGATTATAAGAGGGATGTCCGACTGCCAGTGGGATCGGGCCTAAACTGGCAGTCAGACATCCCCCGAGGGGTCCCAGATTGGAGAGGGTGCAGGCTGGGCTGAGGGACACCTCCTACCCCACCCCACCCCCACTGCACTGATTTTGTGCACCAGGACTCTAGTTTAAACATATTATGCAGTTATAATAATTAAAGTTATAGTAAGACTGATCAATGGAAAGGATTAAAAACCTCAGAAACGTTCTTATACCTATGGTAATTCAAAATGTGATTAAAAATAACATTTCAAATTGGTAAAGAAATGTTCTTAAAAGTCTGATTTCTAGGCATTTAAAACTAGAGCATAAAAGCAATATAGCAACACTGTACCCTCCCAGTTCCTCCCTCAAAAGGCTTGTGGATTGGTCTGTAAAGACATTTTAAAATCACAGAAACAGTCTGCACAAAATGGAAGAACAAATTCCAAATGGAGAGTCATGTTTGCGCCATGTGATGTTACTGCTCCCAAAGTAATTGTTCTGCGTCTTTGAACTATTTAGGGAATAGAATGAGTGACACAAACCCATAATTGTTTATTAGAAACTTGCAATGTCACCAGCATTATTCAGTCCTTCCTCTGTAACCTGACCCTGGCAGACAGCTTCTGTTTAGCAAATAGTGTTTTTATTCAAGTCAAACTCCTGACATGCAGAGGCATTCCCACATGATACCCTTTTACAGCACAGCCCGGCTGGCTCTTGTCTTAAGGATGGGGCAGTACACGCGGGCCCTGTGCCCTGGTCCCATCTTTATCTGAGTGCACCTGACACAGCAATCAGTATCCCTATTCCTTTTCCAGCACCCATGACGTTCATGCATTTGTATTGGTAACATCTAACATAAGCAAAGTAGTCCTGTCTGTACATTTAAAGGCCTTTTCCAAATTGAAACAAACTGAACAAACATTTCTAAAAGCTAGGAATTTATACTTAAGAATATTAGCAGAGGCACTCATAAAAGTTTATATATGTAAGATAATTATTGCTAAGTCATTTGAAATAGTTTGAAACAACTCAAATGACCAATAAAGGGGTTATTGGTTTAATAAATTTGTGCATCCATACCAGGAAATAATGTGAAGCCATTGAAAATTGTATTTTAGAAGAATATTTAAATTTCCTGATAAATTGCTCAAGAATATACTAAGAAATGGAAAACAGAATATAATGCCAGCTTGTTAAAAAATAATAATAATAGAAGACATAAATACATAGAAGAAAAAAGTATAAAGTTCAACACTATGTTTTTTCTACGGTCATAGTAATTTGAACTTTTTTCTGTACGTCTTCATATGTAGTCCTTTTACAGTCAGAAAAGGTTAAACATCATATTTAAAGTTTAGCAGATATTTGGGAGGATACATTTAATTACTTTTAAGTTGTGTTGCCAGCAAGTAGAACTCTTTTAGCCTCCACAGTTTTACAGAAAAGTCATTAAACTTTGCTCTGACCTCTTCCGGCAGGTGTGGGATGGCACCAGGACCCCGTTTCCGTCCTGGAGAGTCTGCGTACAAGACCTTGTTTTTCATGGTGATTTAAGTCACATCCGGCGGCTGCAGAACCTGGCAGTAGACATTTTAGTCTATGATAACCATGTTCAAGTGGCAAAATCTCTGCAGGTGATGTTGAATAGCGAGCCGTTTGCTTTTTTTAAAATTTCTATAAATGGGGGTAAATCACATTCATAGATGATATTTGAGGTCTAGAAATTAACTCCAAATTTATATTCTTTAATATTTAAATTTGTAAAATGAATGTTCATAATAGTTACTAGTGTACTAAAATATAATGGCTTGAACAGCTTTTTCAAAGTAATGTTTCCTGAATATCTTAAATCTATATGCAATCTATATAATAAAAGCCTAAGTGACCTTTACAACAGAACGACCAGAATGACCGGTCGCTATGATACACACTGACACCAGGGGGCAGATGCTCAACACAGGAGCTGCCCCTTGGTAGTCAGTAAGCTCCCACAGGAGTAGCGCCACTCAGCCAGAAACTGGGCTCATGGCTGGCGGCAGGAGCCTCTCCTGACTCCACAGCAGCACTACCGAGTGGCAGCAGCAGGCACAGTGGGCTGGGATGAGCATGAGCAGTGTGGCGCTGAGCCCTGGTTCTGGTTCCTCCCTGGCCTGGGGTAGGATCAGAGAAGGGTGGGGTAGGAGCCGTGGAGATGGGTGGGGTAGGAGCCGCAGAGATGGGAGCGAAGCCCTATTCTTGCAGGAATCCTCCTGCAATGGGCCTCTAGTATTACTATAAAAATAGTAAAGAAAAATTTTGTTGTGTATAACGTACTGCTTTAAAATGACAGGATTTATAAAATATTTGTATATTTAAACATTGAGCTTTGCTACTTTTCGGTTTGATAAAATCTAGTCTTTGTACTTACTAGTTTAAGAAATTATTAATCTACCTCTACCATCATAAATTGTGTGTCTATTTGTGTGTGTGTACTGTACAGTCTATTAGAATTTGCTCACTGTTTTGGGGATATAGCTTTAGGAAAGCATATACTGTTTAGATAAGGTAGTTTTTGCTTAGTAATAATATATTTTAAGGAATATTTTTCTTTATTTTTTTATATCTTATTTGCAAGTGTTCTTTCCAGCAAAGAATAGCATCATTAATAACAACAGTAATAATAGTAACATTTGCTAAGCACTTCCTCTGTATTTAGCTTTATCCTGTTCAGTAGATAACTGTCATCATTTCTATTTTACAAATGAGAAAATGGACACACTCAAAGAGTAAGCCCAAGAACTCACAGCTACTTGTTGAAGCCAGTATTTGAATTTACACTGTCTGTTTCCAGAGCCAATCCTCTTTACCAGTATAAAGAAATGATTTTCTTTATTGCAAATAGTTCCCATCCCACCTTTAGAGAGTTAGGTACACAGCTTACTTACAGAAAGTTATACAACCAACTTATAGGAAGAAAACTAAAAGTGAATTGCAATTTTTAGAACTGAATTTTAGTGCCCAGTTTTCCTTTGTAAATATATGGTTTTGGAGAAGGAAATATTTCCACTTGCACATTGTGTTACAAATAAAGCCCACTCAATCCAAATCAACAAATTAGATTAAGTCAGGCTCCAGGATGGTGACAACTACTGCACTTTCTTACTCCTTTATGCGTGTGTGTACATTCATGTTCTGACATATTTGAGAAAATTAACTGTTGGAGGTAGATCTTTGATGCTTTTCCCCCATTTTATCTACATTGATTCGTTTATTTTAACAAAAATGTAATGTTAAAGCTAGTGATAAAATCTTTTAAAAATATAGATTTCTTTTATAAGTGAAAATGATTTACATTTTAGATCTGTTTTCAAATGCCCTTATCTTTCACTAAAATCTTTTAAAAACATAGATTTCTTTTATAAGTGAAAATGATTTTCATTTTAGATCTGTTTTCAAATGCCCT